AGTTTGTCTTTCATCTCTTCAGTTGATCTTAGCAGAACCCTTGCTTTCTGATCATCAAAGCTGCAGCTTCATAAAGGATTTGACAGAGGGTCATACAAGATGCAGAAGAAAATTCTAAATAGCTTTAAAAATGAGTAGCTCGAAGTTGCTGGTAAATAGAATGCAGTATTATCTTCCTCCCTTTATGTATGCTTGGCCAGAGAATTATACCTGAAATACCTGAAAGTTAAGCAGCGCAAAGCTTCACTTTGGCAATGTGCCAGTTGGTTTGGATTTTTTTTTCCCCCAGCACTACATGTTTTGTGAATTTTTATGCATTTCATAGGTTGTCATTATCCTGCCAAGGACAAATTACGTTTTGTGCAGCGTTCTACTCAGTACAGATAAATAATACAGACCAGAAGTTTGCTGCCATTCCTGAAGATATGATCAGATGGAGGTACTTCTGTCTTAGACCTGGAGAAGTTGTCATGGGAATACATTTTTGTGGAACTATATTTGGGTAGCAGGAGGCCTTATGGACTATGCATTGCAAATCTGTGTTGTGGGAGGTAGGACTTGGGAAACACCAGAAGAGGGTGTCACTAAGCAGACAGACCAAAGATCTCCACACCACATGGTGTCTTCTCTCATCCAAGATTCCTGAGAGCATCAATAACCTCATGCTTGGCAAGCTAATTTAACAGAGCAGCACAGGCAAGCCAGCCTTCCAGTTTGAACCTTGCCATGGCCCATGGTGCTACTGAGCAATTAGAATACATACCCTTGCCACCATATGTGAGCAATTAATAGATATAGCCAGGAACACCTTTTAATGGAAAGATAGATGGCAGTATTGTTATTCTGGAATGATAACAACCTAGATGATGTGTCCATACCTACGACCAAAGGAGTTGGAAAGTCTTGTATTGCATCAACTGACTTTGTCTTCATTAGATGATTGCAAAAACATGGGTCTGAAAAGCATGCCCCTTACCTTCTCCTCTGACTCAGTCTCACACAGCTCTTCTCCACCTTTGTGTCTCAGAGAAGTCCATCTGCAGCTCTAGCACGTGGTTCTCTGAAGGCAGGACGGCTAAGGCATGTGATGGAGCCAGTGAGATTCCCGTTTCAGACGGCAGCTGTGAGATTTCCTTTTGGATGGTCAGACTGCACTCCTCAGTATGCCGGCCAGCCTGCACACTTACCAAGCTCTGGTATCCTCTAAAACGCCTTTTTGAGGAGAGTTTCCCAAATTGCTGGTTTCTAATGGAACAGGATCTTTATTTCTTGCTATATATAGACCTAAAGAATTAGTAATGCACCTGAATGCACTTAGACATTAGTGAATAAGGAAAACAGCACTGTAAATCCTAGGAATTAATAGCTTCTTTCCTCTCCACAGAAAAATTTGGGCTTATCCCATTTGTAAGTTTGATATTGTGTGGATGCAAGGCATAGGGAGAAGAGTTTACACCCAGCCAGCCAGGGCAGGAAAAATGAAGTCTACAGTGAGATGTGGACATTGGCAAAACAAGATCACGAGGGAATCTGCAGAGTTTTGAAAGCCCTAACTGCCAGACTGATCTTACAAAATTCCTTTGGGGATGTGTTTTGTTAACACAGCTGTTGCATCCAGCATGCAGGGAGGCAGCTCCTGCTCCCAATATAGCAGGAATTCGAGTGTTTCAAGTCGTCCTTACCACTCCAGCTGAAACAAGCCAAGTCTTTCTGGAGGCAGTGAGAAAGATCATCTTTACTTCTCATGCCACTCATGAAATAGGCCTGGAGAATAAGAGTAGAAACATCTTCTGGGGAGGATTCTGGCAATGGATACAACAAGAAAACATAACAGTGTAGAGGAAGGTGTGGTGTTAACCAAGTTTCTGGCTTTGGTTGTGCGCAGCCTCTCATAGCAAAAGATTTCTGGGTGACAAGTAATGCAAATGAGAGCCAGCAGTGTGGACTTGTTTAGCATTGATGGTTTGGATGGAGAAATTTAAGACCAAACTCAGTTCTAGCTACCAATTATGCAGATAAAGTCTAAAATGCTATCTGGTAATTGAGAGGTGCTTAGCAGAAAAATCCACTCTTTCCCTCTCTTAGTTCAGTGTAGGATAGGGAGGTTATACCGTCACTAGTGGTGATAATCATCATATTGACTTTTTTGGGTCTGCCTAATAATTTTTACTTCTCACTGTGCTGTTTTTTCGCAGGCTTTGTTGATTTTCATTCCTCATAGCAGCCTTGAAGAGCATAGGTTAGGCTGTAAAATGTGTATTATCACAGCTGAATAGGTGCCCAAGGCACATAGTCATTCAATACAGCAAACTGAAACTGGGAGAGGTATTTTAAAGGGCATTTCCACTGTAAAGTACAAAAAGGAGTTGCATTTCTTGAAGTCTGGTACAGAAATGAGTCTCTTTTGCCTTTCCCCTCATAGCCCTTTCATAAGTAGAAGGTGGAGAGGTCTTGCCAGCACCACTGTGAATAGTTTTATGGTATAGCTGTTTCCCAGTAAGGCACATTGCAGAATAAAGGGCAAGTGCCCTGTTCAGGATACTGCAGGGTAGTTCACAGTGGTGTCATCTGATACAATTTATGTCAAGTTAAACTAAATCCTCAGCTTCTTGTCTCAATTCCCATGATACAGGGGCAATATTCTACTTTCACAAGAGATGCATTGAACTGTAACCCAGACAAATTTGGTTTATAATACCACAAAAACATGTATTGAATATTTTGATCTGTTCCAGGTCACAGGTCAAAAAATACAACTAAACACTGATTATGTTGCTTAATGCAAACAGTTTGAATGCTTATTTCTATTATCATTGCTCTCCCATTTGCTTATTCTATTAGGAGCCCATTTGCTGCTTTCCTGCTTCCCTATGTCCTATTTGACATTTCAGAATGAATAAAGAAGCTCGTTTAGGTTTTTTAAGTGCATATGCATTTCCTTATGGTTCAGACCTTAGCACAGCCATTGGTCTTTGAACGCTTGCAGATGAAGCATACATAAAAATACGTGTAAGCCTATGCATGCATACATACCAACGTCTGACCTTAAATGCTTTGAACTCTGGCCCCAAAACACAAATTCATAATTCAAGAGGTTTGAGGCAGAACAGCGCTGAGCACAACTTCTGGATGCACGGTTCCCTTAGCAAACTATGCAGCCTTGAATTGCATTTCTAAATCCTCACGCATTGAGACTCACGCGAGTGCCTCTGAATGGGAGCTAAGGAGCTCAGTGAGCCCAGCACAAGGTGCATCCCACACCGGTCTGCAGGGAAGTGCTGAGGACTGTGCTCTTTCTGCAAAAAAAGGTCCCTTCTTTTCATCTACAGATAGAGCATCTGTCTCCATGTGAATTTCATACATCAAGGCAACCTGAGTGGGGAAAGGCTGCCTTTGCGAGCCTCAGGAGACTGTTTGCATTAGAGAAGCACCATAGTGATTTGTCTTTCCTGAGTAAGCCACGCTGGGAATGTGCCAAAGTGGAGCCTTTGAAAACCAAGCATTTGGTTTGTCCACTTTAGCTACTGACAGATTAGAGGGTAGCTAAGCAAATGTTTTGGGGATAAGCTTGAATCCTACTTAGCTCTAATTAAGCTTAATATGCCTCATTCCTTTTTTTTTTTTCTTCCAACTCTGTTGTTGTTAATGCATTCGAAGGACACTGTATTATTGTGCTAAATACAGCATTTGGTATAACTGAATGTACTTATTAAAAATAAAAATAAATGTGCAATTTAGATAGTAAAGGAAAGGTATTAGCAATTGTGTCCTTTTCTGTCCCTTGATATTATGAAGCAACATAGACCATCAGGTCACAGTAGAATACTGTTTAGGCAGCCAAATGTGTACACTACTGCTTATGTGCAGGTTTGTGCTTTTTGCTCCGCACAGACACAGCCAAGTTGATATGTAATAATAATAAATGCTTACAGACTGGTAGTTGGTAACTACAGGTGCACAGATTTTCCTTTACTCTGATAATATTTGCCATATTTGAAAACATCATAGGAAATCCACCCTTGTTTTAGAGTCTTCTGTAGCTGAAGAGAATGAGAAGTGGAACAAACCCTAGAATACCACCATTATCCAGCTGTATGTATGCATTCAGACGGTGATATGTCCCTGTTAGAACACATATTTGATGACAGCAAGGGCAAGTGGGAGAAACCTCTCTCCCCCTCAAAACACGAGCTAAATTCATCTACTTTTTGCAGAACTGAAAACTACTACCAAACTGCTGCTGGAAAACAGGCAGAACTATGCATAACAGCTCTGAAAGATTTGTATTCAATGACTTATGACAAAATTACATGAATTAGCCAAATGTGTCTTCTGGAATACTCTAACCTTTGTATGTAAGCATTATTACTTTTTAATTCATTGTTCATTGACTTATCAAAAATGCCATACAATGTATTGAAAACTCATACAAAGGACATGTTAAGAGACACAAAGCAAAGCCTTTCTACAGCTCATAGAATGTACTATAGACTAATTTTAGCACAATGAAAATTTCTTTTGTACAGACATGTATTTTTATATAAAAATTAGCCTTCACTGTTAATGTATCATAGCTCCTACAGCTGGGAAAAGGTTTTTCCAAGTATTTGGTTCCTAATGTCCTTGGTGCCTTAAAAAATGTTTATTCAAATTATTCATTGGAATTTGGCATAGATCCTACAGTCTTTGTCATAGTAGTATAGCTTAATTTGCCTTTGTTTTACTTAACAGGTTTGTATCATCAGTGAAAAAATTGGAAGAATTATATATCCCAACATGCTTAGATTTAGGCCAGTAGATTTCTTTTTGCTATGGATACAGCTGACTGCTTTCCTGTTTTGAATTAAATGATTTATTTGTATGCTTAATTTTCTTCAATCTCCTTTCATCAGCTGAAAAGTACCAATAAAACACCAGCCGACCATTAGAAGAGAGATAAAATAGCATGATATATCTTCATTACTAAGATATCCTCTCTAAGCTGTTTTTTTCTCTTGCAGGACGGTTCTGTTTACTCTGACCTCTGTAGTTGTGCTTGTCATCACAACTGACTGGATCAGCTGGGACAAGTTGAATCGTGGCTTTCTGCCAAGCGATGAAGTCTCAAGAGCCTTCTTGGCTTCTTTCATCCTTGTGTTTGACCTTCTCATTGTCATGCAGGTACGTTGTCCTGTTTCATTCAAGCTGATGAGGCTGCCTCGTCACTCTGCTTTCACTAGCACAAATACTGTTTTGCTAAAGCTTAATATCGGCAAGTAAATGTATAGGTTGCAAGCACTATTATTAGAAAATTTTCTAACATTTTTGTTGAGGACTTTGCAAAAAGCTAGTTGGCCTTTTTTGTTTGCTTGTTCGTTTTTTTGTGAAAACATCCCTGATTTCTTTTTTCAGGCTGTCAGGTAAGGCCTTAATGGCTTTCAAAATTGGAGGGCAGATTCTGCAAAAGTGATATTGGAAAATGAAACAGAAGTTACCTTTTTTTTTTGGAAATTAAAAACATCTGTTAATCAGACAAGAGATATCCAGCAAAACAAAGAAAAATATCTCCTATATTTCAAAGATTTACAATGTTTGATATACATACAATGTAGAAATACATCTAAATAGATGAAAATTCATATTTGCTATTGGTGTTCCTCTTTCTATTTTCACATACCATTTTTTTTACCTTGTTTGTGATATGTCAGTCTACTGCCTGGGAGGGTAACTATGGACATATTTCCCTATAGCCTGCCTGATGTCTGCTCCTTTGAATCTCACTGTTAAGTAGAGCTTGGGTCACAAGTATATGGCCAAACACTTCCTTCATATGGTGCTATGACCCACCCTTTGCCTTTTTCTGTGGTTCGACTTTGTGTGAGTAACTCATTTTATGCTTTGTGAGGAATTAGGCCATTTGGGCTGGAAGAAGTAAAAGCAATGTCAAAGGCCGAAGCGACTTTTCTATTAGTCCTAGAAGTGTTGAAGTTTAGCAGAAATTTGAGAAGAACTGCTGGGACCTTCTCTCTCTAATAAATTATTACCTAAGTCTGCCAGCAAAGACCATTTCTGAGAGACACCTTGTTCTCTTTACTGAGATATCTTTTGCTGAATAATTGCCATAGATGTGAAACTCAGAATTTATCACCTCTGTACTAGGACATTAAATCAGTAAAAGGTCTTTTAGTTCCATTTGATTTTCCAGCAGCCGCCAGTGTTCATGGCTGTCCACGGTTATAAGAAGGTTAGGAGATGGAATTTAGTTTCAATTTCTAATGAGCTTTCTGATACTTTCTTTTCCCTCTTTTTGCATTTTACATTTTGTTTGGTGTTTCAAAAAGATTTGAGAGAATGTATAATAAATTATTCTACTTCAAGGGCTGTAATAAAAGCGTGAATGAAAGTGCACAATACATCAAGCTATACTGAATTTTATATTGTATACCAAGTAGAGAAATAGAGTTGTCTTGATATCAAATAATTATTAAATCATTCTTTCAACTCTTAAAAATGCAGTCACAGTACCTTGGCCTTGGAGTTGTTGCATATAGGGAAGAATTTCATTTGAAACAGCCTAGTTTCAAATAGTACTAGCCTAAGTACTATTTCATATTTTTACAACACAAAGTGAGAGGCTCTTTTTAATTGCATTTTTGATGTATGTTTATGCGATGGAGTAATTTATCTTATTTATTTGGGATGTGCAGCTAAGTCGGCATGCTTTATTTACAGTGTAGTTCTAGCATCATTTCCTCTGAAAATCAAGTTGAGAATATAACAAATCACAAATGAAAACCTCTGTTAGAATCATGATCTTCTGACTGAAGTAGAATTCTATACCTTAGAATTAAATGTTTGCATAGGTTCTTTTTAATAGCAGTGTCTGGTGCACAGAACTTTTACAGACTTAACAAGCTTTTACAACAGAACAGTGAAATTAGCAAAAAATGCATTTGGGATTAAGTGCTACACATTCAATTTGAGATTGGCATTAATTAATCTCCTCTAGTTCTTGAGTTAAATATGTTACAGACATTTTGTGTCTATTCGAGTGGCAGCATTAATACTGCAAAAATGACTGTGTTTAGTAAGAAAAGGAAAACATTCTCAATGTTGTGAAAAATAATTACGTAATTGTAAGTGACTCCTCTCAGTTACAGACTCTTTTTAGTATACAAAGGTTCCTTCAGTTCAGGCAATAAAATCAGTACTTTGGAGACAAGTCAGAGAGACACAGAGGCAAGAGCACTGACTGAAATGTAAAAGTGAAAGTCCTAACCATAGAAATGAATATTAAAATAATCCAAGGAAACAAATTATGGAGAAAGCTGCAGGATATAAGTTGGATCTTACAGATAGGGTGGCTTATTTATGAATCCAGCTCTTTCCTACCTCTTCTGCTGATTTCACTGGAATAAAAGATAAAGTTGTGGCACGGATGCTGTTCCCTAGTGCTGTTTTGAGCAACTACAGTTGGATGAGATGCAACACGGCCCAGAGGCGCACATTCCTCTCCATTGGGAATGAGCACAGCCAACACACCTAGCTTAGAGGAAGTCAACCCCTCAAGCCAGAACTAAAATAAAAGCTATGAGAGTGGCATGTAAATGACTGAACAGCATCTCTGCAAGGCGTCTGCTCAGCTATTGCCACACCTGATCAAAGAGTGTCACTTTTGGATGGTGAGGTGGATTGAGAACTCACTGGATGGCAGAGCACTGAGGGTTGTGATTAGTGGGGCTGAGACTAGTTGGAGGCTTGTGGCCAGTGGTGTCCCTCAGGGGTCAGTACAGGGCCCGGTGCTGTTCAACCTGTTCGTCAAAGACCTGGACGAGGGCACTGAGTGCACACTGAGCAAGTTTGCGGATGATACCAAGCTGGGTGGGATGGCCGACACTCCGGAGGGCTATGCTGCCATCCAGAGGGACCTGGACAGGCTGGAGGACCTCTTATTGGTTCTTATGAGAACCTCTCATGAGGTTATTATGAGAACCTCAATTGGTTATTATGAGAAACTCTCATGAGGTTCAATAAGGACAAGTGCAGGGTCCTGCACCTGGGGAGGAATAACTCAGGCACCAGTATAGATTAGAGGTTGAACTGCTGGAGAGCCCCTGGAGTATTGGGTGCAGTTCTGGGCTCTTCAATACAAGAGAGATGTGAAACTTCCAGAGAGGGTCCAGCAGAGGGCAGCAAAGATGATGAAGGAACTGGAGTATCCATCCTATGAGGAAAGACTAAGTGAGCTGGACCTGTTTAGCCTGGAGAAGAGAAGGTTGAGAGAGGATCTGACCAATGTGTATAAACATTTGAGGGGAGAATGTAAAGAAGATGAAGAGGCCAAACTCTTCTTGGTGGTGGCTGGTATTCGGACAAGGGATAATGGATAAAAGTTGAAATATAGGAAGATCCATCTCCATGTGAGGAAGAACTTCTTTACTATGAGGGTGAAGCACTGGAACAGGCTGCCCAGAGAGGTTGTGGAGTCTCCTTCTCTGAGGTCTTCCAAAGCTGCATGGACACGACTCCGTGCCACACACTCTAGGTGTCCCTGCTAGAACACGGGGGTTGGACTAGATGATCTCTAGAGGTCCTTTCTCTAGAGGTCCTTTCCAACCTCAACCATTCTGTGATACTGCCTGGCCACTCAGTGTATGAAAGGAACGCAAATTTCACTGGGTCTAGGACCATGTATGAGAGATGATGGGTATGCAGATTAGAGTGCTTGACAGTCAAGACAGTGTCCTCAGTTCCAGACTTATGGCCAGGACATTTTTATACAATGTGAATATCAACATTGACTTTTTAAAAGGAAGAAGTTTCATATTTTCCTTCAGGAAACCAACAGACCAAGTTCAGTCCATTGCAGGTGAAAATTATTTCATTTTACAGGAGATCTATTTGTATATAATAAGAAGAAATAGCCCTTAAATGTGATATCTTTCCCTTTACACTGAAGACTTGAAAATTTGGTCATATTCACAATCTACTTATTTGTGCCTGCCTTGAAAACTGAGATGCCAAGATGCCTCCATATGTAAACGTCTGGTATCCATAGCAATCACTGCTCTACACAGGCATGATTCTATCTTTGGTCTTAATTTCAGAGTGAGTGCAGGACCACACGTTAATTAAAGCTGGATATGTCATGCTGCTGTTTCCATATAGTTTATTATTGCAAAATTTCACATTTTTTAGTTCCATTTGTCAACAACGCTAATAGAAAAGATGTTAATTAAAGTGGCACATATGAAGAAATTCTGTAATTCTGGATTCCAAAGACCTCTAATTGAGCAAGTAAGCAGGACTGTTAGTTCATATACTGCTTCTTTTTTTTTTTTTTCTTCCTGACATCATGTTCTCATTGAGTTTGCTAATGGGTAGGAGTGTGTGTGGCTGGATTATTAAATATTGTGTGCCCAGAGTAGATTAATTGTTTCATCCCTGTTGTGTCTTTTGTGAGTATTTACATATTTCTGTATACTATGCTGCATCTCTGTGGAGCTACATGCTGTAGCTGCACTTTGCAAATTCCATGGTGTGAATTCTTGTATTCTTTATGACTTACTGCAACTACTAATCTGATGTAACAGAGAGATATAGTATTTGAGGGTTTAAATCTACCTAAGAATGCTATTTGATTCCAAAGTAGAATTTGTTCTTCAGTAAACTGAATAAATTCTGAAGTTAGTTGAGTGGAATAGACATAAGTCTTGCTTGTTTATAAGATTCTTTGAAAAAAATGCCATTTGTTGAATCTAAAACCAAACTACTAAAATAATCCTATTAATATCCAATGGCAATGCTATTGTAAATAGGCACAACAGCATTTTGCTCATCTAGATAATTTGAAACCATTAAAGTCAAACAGAGTTAGCTAATTAACATTCCTTATGACTAGTGATGAATCTCTTTATATAGTTATGGGGTATCTGTAAATTAAAAGATGTTAATAATACTCTTTTCCAAATGTATTTTTCATGATATTTTACAATGTATTTTATATTTTATTTATCTACTCAGCCCTGGTAAAGCCACATCTGGAGACTGTGTCCAGTTCTGGGCTCCCCAGTACAAGAGGGATGTGGAGCTGCTGGAGAGAGCCCAGCGCAGGGCTACGAGGATGATCAGGGGCCTGGGCCTATGAGCAAAGGCTGAGAGAGCTGGGCCTGTTCAGCCTG